AACTCTTAAACTCTCTTGGACACAACTCAAGAAACACTTCCTTGACATTTAGAATTTTACTATTACTTTCTCACCAACACCAATTTTCTGTTACATAAAATCCTATACACATAACCATACTTGCATTCAATCTGATAAGAAGAGCATCTGATAAGAGCATCTACAACATAACTGGTAATTATGCTGGTTTTATTTAATTAATTTAAATTAATTAAATGTTTTACCAATAACAGGATATATGCCTGGATAAATCTCGGTCAGATTTCAATGTTTAGAAATCTTAGTTAACTAAAGAATATATAGTTATAAACATTCCATTCTGCAGGTGGAATCAAGATAATTATATATTAATTATATTTTTATCACGTGTAAGCATACCACTGTTTTTATCCAGATGTATTGATTTGCTCTGAAATAATATAGTGTATCTTATATAAGGAATTTAAAATCTGGCAATGTAAAATCTGGTAGATTTTTCATATTGGGTGGTTCCAAGAATGGTTGATCTGGTATGAACATTATTTTAATTGAAAATTGCATGAGAATAGGTTATTATATGCGTAGGAGGATCTAGCCAGCATTGAAAGATTTAATCAAGTGATCTAACTGTGAGCCAAGATTTTATGGCTTTTCGCTGTGCTGTGTGAAGTTTTGCTTTCTGTGTCTGTGAAGTACCATATCATAAATCATGTTATGTCTTGACATTTGTTGCTGTAGCCATTGAATTTGTTTAAGATATTGCCATTTTGTTGTTTAATTATGTTATACTAAATATTCACTGATTATTATCACACATGTTACATATTATTTTATTATTATTGTCACAATAAATTATATTTTTATAAGAAATTGTGATTTATTTGTATGGAGTAAAAATCCTCATAATGATCGTTCTCTAGGATCTAAGAGAATTACTGTATATACTCGAGTTTTTCAGCACTTTTTTTGTGCTGAAAAAGCCCCCCTCGGCTTATACTCAAGTCACTGTCTGTATTATGGCAACTTACATTGCCATAATACAGACCAGGACTGCCGGGCTCATTATAAGCCTGGCGGTCCTGTTGGGGGCCGGAGCGAGCTGTTACTTATCTTTATAGCCACTCCGTACAGCTCTCCTGTCAGCTCCGTGTAGTTCCCCCATTCAGCTCCCAGTGTAAGTCTTGCGAAACCCATGGCCATCAGAGCGGTACGCAGACAGCAAGACTTACACTATGAGCTGCACGGAGCTGACCGGAGATGCTGTAAAGGTAAATAACAGCTCGCTCCGGCCCCCCCACTGCACAGCCCATCCACTGGACCACCAGGGAATGTTACAGCCCACCTCCCTGGCCAGGCAACAAGAAGAGAGAGGGGGCTAAAAAAAATGATTAAACAAATATTAAAATAATTTAAATAATAATATTAAAAAATATTTAAATAATTATATTAAAATATTTTAAAAAATAATTAAAATAATAAAAATGCCCTCCCCCCCACCCAGTTTACACATGCACACACTCTGCATTCACACAAGTTTTCCCAGGTTTTTGAGCTAAAATTAGGGGCCTCGGCTTATATTCGGGTCGACTTATACTCGAGTATGTACGGTAAATAGTGGGTAATTCTCTATATCAATTTTGATATAATAAAAATTATTAAATTAATTAGATTTTTATGAAAATATTATTTTTAATATTATCACCCCATAAATATCCCCACAGCATCCCCTGGCACTGTAAACCTGCAGTGTGTGGAAGGCAAGATTATTAATACCAGGAAATCCTATGAGAAAACATCATGCCATTTTTGAGGAAGCTGAAACTTGGGCTTTACTGGACCTTCCAACAAGACAATGATCCCAAGCCTACCTCAAATTCCAAAGATTGGTTGCAAAAGACGTCCTGGTAAATCTACAGTTGTCATCACAGTCACCTGATTTAAAATGCATAAACAAATCTTTGGTGGGATTTGGTAACAGTAGTAGGTTGCAGAAGGCAAACCCAAGAATATTACTCAACTGGAGGGCCATTGTTCATGAGCAATGGGCTACGATTTCTCAGAAATGCTGCCAGAAGATAGTGTCTGGCTATGCATCACATTTGCAGCAGGTCATAAAAGCAAAATAGTGCTCTACTAAGTACTAAAGATGATTGCCATGAAGAGGTTGAATCATTTTGAGACTGGAGAATTTATTATAAGTTGCATTTTCAGTTGAATTTGAGGAAACAACTTGAAACATTCATTGTGTTGTAGCTATTCCATGCTTTTGTTTGATTTGTTCATTGCAAACAGCTGAAAGTCTGTAACTATTGACAATAGATAGTTTTTCACTTGGGGTTGAATTATTTTTTTTGACAACTGTATATATATCAGCCTCTTAATGAAGGATCAATGTGAAGTGATCATCTTCACTTTGATGTTGAATTGGAAGTACATTTCAGCACAGTCTTAAGTAATATTCTTCAGAACACGTGAATGTATGGAAAACCCCAAAAACATAAATGCAACACAAAGAAAATGCTTATAGATTAGCTTGTAATATAATAAGAGGAAAATGGCAACTCACTCTGAAAGTCCTTCTTGAAAGGTCAAGTATTATAGGGTTGAGCAGTTTGATCCCCGCTCTGGGATATGTATACGTCAGATGTAGTGATGTCGCGAACCCGAAATTTTCGGTTCGCGAACGGCGAACGCGAACTTCCGCAAATGTTCGCGAACCGGCGAACCGCCCGAAACGCCATTGACTTCAATGGGGAGGCGAATTTTAAAACACACAGGGACTCTTTCTGGCTACAATAGGGATGGAAAAGTTGTTTCAAGGGGACTAACACCTGGACTGTGGCATGCCGGAGGGGGATCCATGGCAAAACTCCCATGGAAAATTACACAGTTGATGCAGAGTCTGGTTTTAATCCATAAAGGGTAGAAATCACCTAACATTCCTAAATCACAATGAATATGGATTGACACCTGACATATGACATATTGACACCTTGACATATGGATTGACACCTGTCCTCAGAGCCCCTGATGCACACGGACACAGAGCAGAATAGAGACTGGTCCCCCCTACATAGGGTCACTTGGCAGATATGGATTGACACCTGTCCTAAGGTTCCCTGGTACACACTGACACAGAGCAGAATAGGGACTGGTCCCCCTACATCGGGTCACTTGGCAGATATGGATTGACACCTTGTTACAACTGCTATTTGTAACGGGCCCTTTAAATGGCAAATTGCCCTGTTTCCCTGGGTTGTGGAGAAGCCTCTTTGCCAGCCTCCTCCCGCATGACTATGGCCCCTGGGAGATTGTGAAAATGTATGCACTTTTATTTGGTGTATGGCCCTTTAAGACTGTCGGTGGGCATATTGGGGCTTATGGACTCTTTATGTGACTGGTGCTGGCCCTTTAAACACCTTTTTTGGGATATCAGGAAGATTGGGGCACTGCCCCTTTAAGGCCGTGTCCCCAGACTTGTTGGGGACACGGCCCCTTTAAGACGGTGTCCCC